GGAATAGTTGAAACTCCTACGAGTCATTAGGATGTTATGAAGTATTTCTTCAGTAACAGAGTTGTCAGGAAGTGAAACAATCTGGAGAGCAAATTAGCTGAGGTAGGATCCATACATAGCTTTAAGAGGAGGTACGATAAGGCTCCTGGAGCAGAGAGTGTGGACCTTAAGTAGCGACCAGCGAAGAGGCAGGGCCAGGAGCTGTGAATAGGCCCCAGCAATCACATACAGGTTGAGTACATACGTACAAAAAAAAAAAAACTGAGTCAGCAACAACAGGCTTCTCTTGGCTTAGGAAAAGCTGATAGGCGTCCAAACAATTGCCCAAAGGGCTGATAATGTATGAAATAAGGAACACTGCAACAGGCCTATTGGTCCATGCTACGCAGGTTTAACTCTCACCCAACTACCCACTCATACACTCGTCCAACCTTTAATTAAGGCTTCTCATGGTTCTCTCCTCAGTGACGCTAACCTATGACACTGAGCTTGACTCTATCATCATTCTGAACTATGTCGCTCATTGAAGCTCTTGGCTCATATAATGACTCCAACAACATGCTCATTGGGGAAGCCAGGTATAGATACTCAAAAATTAGGGACAAAGGAATTAATGTACAATTGCTATGGATCCCATCACACATTGGATTACTCCTTCATGATAAAGTTGATATGTTAGCCAAGAAGAGTATCGAGAAGGAGAATGTAGAATATAACTTTGGTAAAGTATAACTGTGTCTAGCATTAGGAATAATATTAGGAGAGAAGTAAAAATGAAAATGATTGTATATAGGACTGCAGTAAAAAGCCGAGAGAAGTAAATAATGATAATGGATTCAAAATCAAATACAAATTCAAAGCTTATTCTCTATAAGGATACAAAGTAGATTTTACCGAAATTTGGTATTGTGTGGTTTACATGTAAAATAGATGATACAGAGTGTAACCACTAGAACGCATAGCAGGCTAGGATTGTTATCGGAATCATTAGAAGCCAGAGTAGATCTATAAACCCACTATGAAAACAATGAACGTAGATAATATGTTTATGGGAGCAACTTGCATAGAGAACAGACTGACTGATGTGTAGTGCCAGGCATAGGCTTGGTATACAAAGCACACTTCTGGCAGTTGGAGACACACCGATGCTGATCAAGACTAAATGTAAAATATGTGATCAGGCATATGGTCACTCTCTTGAACACTATGTGCTTAATTGTCCACTTATTGAGGAATACAGAGACAGACAGTATAATAACATATGTGACATGTCAAGATATCTTATTAATGAAAATAAGATACCAGATATACTAAGCAAATTTCCTAAATTTGCTTGTAACAGATAAGTGAACTATAGATATGTAGATATAAATCCATATGTATTCCTGTTAACCCTTTGGGGCCTAGTTCCTAGGCCTTTTGTGTATCCATATGCTCTCGCGCTACCGTCCACAGGATGGATATGGGCGGCACAATAAACTAGCCACTTCGGTGGCAAAATCTAATCTCCTCAGTGACGCTACCTGGGAGTCTGTTCCTGCCCGAAATGCTCATTCTTGCTAGTGGCTCTCTTTGTGCGTGACAATATTTTACTGCATGTAAATTACACATTGTATAGTATGCAAAGAAAGAATTCTTAAAACAACTGTATACTATAATTACTGGAAATGAAAATTGTTACTATCAAGATAAGAATTCTTCGATTTATAACCCCGGAGGGTTAGCCACCCAGGATAACCCAAGAAAGTCAGTGCGTCATCGAGGACTAACTTATTTCCATTGGGGTCCTCAATCTTGTCCCCCAGGATGCGACCCACACCAGTCGACTAACACCCAGGTACCTATTTTGCTGCTAGTTGAACAGGACAACAGGTGTAAGGAACGTGTCGAAATGTTTCCGATTATTTACAGCAATGTAAATTACACATAGTATAGTATGCAAAGAAAGAAAATTCTTGAATTTGAATTATAAACTAAAATTCTAAAACAACTGTATACTATAATTAATGGAAATGAAAATTGTTACTATCTCGATAAGATTTCGTTCGATTTTTAACCCCGGAGGTTGCCACCCAGGATAACCCAAAAGTCAGTGCGTCATCGAGGACTGTCTAACTATTTCCATGGGGGTCCCTCAATCTTGTCCCCCAGGAATGCTCGCCCACACCATTCGACTAACAACCCAGGTACCTATTTGCTGCTATGTGAACAGACAACAGGTGTAAGGGAAACGTGTCGGAAATGTTTCCCACCCGCCGGGAACTCGAACCCGGGCCCTCCGTGTGTGAAGCGGGAGCTTTATCCAACAGGGCCACCTACCCCTATCATTGTTTACTGCACTCGTATACAACTCAATTCCAAACCAGTATTTCCCAGTACATCTTTTAAGTCTAAATTTATTCATCTTTAATCCACTGCTGTGAGGGCCGTCTTGGTTAGTTACTTTACTCTCAGCAAGTTAATAGATAAGCTTTACCCTGGAGTCGCTTCAGGTTAATTAACCCGCTGCTGCGCCCGGATCCCAGACCAGGGCCTCCTCTAATAAATTAAGACTGAAACTTTCTAACTTAACCCACAGTCCCTCAATTCATTCCCCCCTCGTCCAATCTTCCAATTCCCCTACATCATTCCCCTGCCCTCCGTTTTACCCCTCTTCATTCATTCCCTCAAATACCCTCCATTAATTTTCCTTCCTCTTTTCAACCCCTATCCACCAATTCCCTACCCTATTCTACCTTCATCTTTCATCCCCTCCATCATTACCTCTCTCTGATTCCCATCCTCTATTCTACCTTTCATCATCCTTGGCCTCTCCTCCCTGGCTATCAGCTGGTATGGCAGTGTTCAACACACCCGGTGTCATCAAGGTGTAGTGGGGGATTTAAAAAAGAGGAACCCTCTTGAGGCAGTTAAATAAGCTCATCTCATCTCTGCCGATGAGTAAAAACATCCCATCGTTCTTACTTATCATTTCCTCGTGATGGCGTATTCATGAAAATCTGAAATTTTAAGGAAATGTCAAAGTATTTTAACCACAGTTGGGCATATTACCAGTCCATTCAGTAAATACCTGAGCCTATTGTAAGTAACTCATAACCCACTTTACCTGTAATTCAACTATATATTGTTAAAATCCGATACTTTAAGTAACTCCTAACTGCATATAAACTACAATGTGATTCAAGTCTACATAAACATTACCATATCATTGTGAACATTATAAACCATTTTGTAAATATTCATTGCCACAAACTTGTCTTAACCTTGGAATAGATATTAAGTATGATTACACTGCATGGTATAACGAAGTTAGTCTTTATTACCTCAACAGTAATTATTACATTTTATGGGAGGGAAAGAGCGTCAAACCCGTATGGGGCTGTTGTTGCCCTCGGGAATTGAAGGGATTATATTCCGATCCAGGAAAAGGATGATGAATACTGAATGTCCAGTAATCTGGATCAAGAGCTCCTACATCATGAAGTCATCCCTTTTGAAAGTGTTTAAAAAAATAAAACAGAATATATAATTATAAAACATATGTATCCACTATTTAAAACAAAATCAAGTGTCTAAAATTATACATTGTAAACCCCTCAAGGAAGGTTCCTTGATGTTGGTGAGGGGCTCTTGATTTAGGGAATTGGATCTGTGCTCCAGTTCCCCGAATTAAGCCTGAATGCCTTCCACATTCCCCCCCCCCCAGGTGCTGTATAATCCTCCGGGTTTAGCACTTCCCCCTTGATTATAATAATAATAATAATAATAATATACATTGTAAATGAAAAAAAATGGAGAGTAGTATTTGATACTTGTTTCCAGGATGGTGTCAATTTAACATTTTGGTCAAAAAAAAAAAAAAAAAAAAAAAGCACAGATGGTGTACCCTGTTTGATGTATATGTTAGGTTAAGCAGTGTTGTTTTTGAAGCTGCCTTGCTGTATGACCCTAGTAGGTTTAGTGCTTCCTTTTGATTATAATAATAATAATTGAAGCTGCCTTGAGAGCATAATAAAAGAGCTCTGCATTATATATACTGGCGACTGTCTCCTCAAGGGAGCTACTCAATGCTGGTGAAGGGCTCTTGACCTAAGGAATTGGACTTAATCTCCTTCCTTGGATCGAACCTGACGACCTCCAATTTTCCCAGACATTGCATGACCTCCATGATTTAACACCTCCCAATGATTATTATTATAATCAAAACTAAGTGCTAGACCCACAAGGGTTTCAAATGATAAGAATGAAAATATGTTTAGGTTTTTGTATATTTGTGGTAAAGAAAAGACATGTAACAAAAGGAGACTTTTTATCTTTATGACATTTCACCTATTTACTTCAATTTTTTGCTTAATGTAAATAGTATTGCTTCAGTTTTCCCAAGTTATAAAGACAGCTTGTTGTCCATTACCAAAAACCATTATCTATATTCCAGACAATATTTTCTTAAAAATGGAATATGCCTTAATGCTAGTGAAGAGCTCTTAATCTGAGAAATTGAAGCTTCCGAAACCTAAATGTTTCTAAATCCCCAGGTGCTCTGTGGCCCCCACAAGTTTAGCACTAATGATAATAATGATAATCCTGATGATAGTCACTTGCATTCATTTACACAATATTGTACTAGGCTATTTCAATAAGAAACTGTCTCAGATCAGAAAAGCAGTAACAGTACTTATTGTATTCCAAGCAGGTCTGCTTGATGGTTGAAAGATTTTTATTTCATGTTCATAATTTTATTCTTCACTTCATACTGAAATCTATATTATTCTGTATGATTGTTTTACTAGTACAGATTTGATGGCCTTGGTTAATCATTTTCAAGATAAATTTCATACATGTGTTCCCATGTACGTATATATCTTTCATTATCTGTGATTTTAATTTTTCCAGTCAGACTGTAATGATCAAAATAAAAAACCATAGGGGTAAAGACAATAAAAAATGCAAAAAATTCAAATCTAAAATTACATGTTAGAAATTTATATATCCCTTATCAGGTGGACCCTGATCCACCACGAGGCCTAGTCTCAGACCAAGCCGTGGGGGCATTGACCTCCGAAACTCTCTCCAGGTAAACCCAGGTAAGTACCGTAGCTTGTAAGTACAGTGGTACCTCAAGTTACAAACTTAATTCATTCCAGGAGACTGCGTGAATGCTGGTACCAAACGAATTTGTTCCCATAAGCAATAATGTAAGTTAGATTAGTCCGTTTCAGACCCCCAAAAATACACTTACATAATTGTTTGAGTTGGGAGCTGTTCGAAACTCGAGCTACCACTGTACTAGTTTCAATCTGCCCTAAAAGCTTTGTATAACAAGGGGGCTACTCTTAGAATGTAAAAATATTGTTGATTTTGATCCTGATCCCTATGGGTTTAACAGTCCCTCATGAATGTAATAATACATAAATGATTTGATTCTACTTGTACCAACCTAACATACTGTAGGCTAAATTCTGCCAATCCAATCAGAATAGCTCTATACATGTAGTATTTGATCTGGAGTAGATATGTAATGTACAGTATAGCAAAATATTTAACGAGACACAATATTTGTATTAAAAGGACACAGTGCTATAATAAAATCTTGATTGTTGTCATTGTACATACAGTATTTATTTTGGTATTGCAGAATGTAGCTTTAGTGTTCTGTAACAGCAGCTTCAGTGGGTTTTAGCATCAATAACACCTGGGCTCCCTACACGATTCACAGACTTTCTCTCCTGCAAATACAAGTACAGCCTCACCTCACTTAGCGTCATACTTGTTTACCGATGACACAGACTTACGATGGGCTCTCTGACCAGTGTACATACCTAAATAATGTACGTATATTAGAGCTGATTTCCTTTATTCTTTTTATTACAATATACAGTCTACTACTGTATAAACATTTAAAAATATACCAGAAGTGTTACAAATGGTGCAAAAGTGGCATTAAAACAATATTAATGATGGTTAACACAAGCCCACTACCATTATAGTACACTTCTCACTTAGCGACAAATTCGTTAACCAACGTGGTCTTGGGAACGGAACTCTGTCGTTGAGTGAGGAGAGGCTGTACTGGTAATCTGATAAGTACAGTAACTTTACAAATGCAGTGGCTAACTGTTCAAGATAGGGCAAATGATCAACAGTTTGAACGGATTTTTATATTTTAGGATTTAAGCATATAGGGGATAAACTGTGTGTGTATAAGGATTGAGAATTTTAACTTTTTAATGGCCTAGCAAAACCCAGCATTGCACTGCAATATAGTGAACCAACATTAAACCTTTTGCATTTTTATTTCACATATCATGCATCTTCATTTCTTAACCATGTGAATGTTTTCTTCACAATAGCATTAATCTTTGCTACTCACATTTTCACTTTACAACATTATACATGTATATCATTCTACTCAATCATGCACATGTATGATACCCAGTATCTTTTATCTCAGCTGCTCAATTCCCAAGAGTTAGTAATGGGCTCTGTGTTTATAATTACATAAACTAAATGACACAAAAATAGACTTGACAAATTCTGAGGGAGACATTAGGGAGGTTTAAAGAAAATAAGTTAGATACACATGTGAGAATGGTTGGGTGTGAGTAGGACCTACTTTGCATGGGGTTACTGTCTGTAGTGCTCCACTGTTCTTATAATCCTAAAATAAGAGACCAAATCTCACTGTAATTACTAAAGCCAAGCAAAATTACATATGAATATTGCAAATTTAGTTTTCCCTCAGGACTACTGTATAAGGAGAAAAAGAGAAAAGGAAGAGTAGCATTACTAATTAGGAATGGCTGGAGATTCAAGGAACTGACAGTCCCAAACTTCAGTGACTTCTGGAATATCTACCTGGAACCTTAACATAGGGCCCCAGGGGTGCAACATGGCAGGTAAATTTTAACTTTTTTACATTCAGTAAACACTTCACTCTCCTGTCTAAATAGTTATTATACCTGCAATAGTTCCTTTATAATTTAGGAGACCTGGTTTGAGATCAGGCTGCTGGGCTAATGATTGCTAGAAACATTAACGTATTGTTTAACAGATACAATATAATAACTGAGGATTCCTCATGGTTGTCATGTACAATTTGCCACCATGCTTCTGATCCAAACTAGAATACAGTGGACCCCCGCATAGCGAACGGCTTGCATAGCGAACATTCCGCATAGCGAACGCTTTGTTCGCTAAAATTTTGGCCTGCATAGTAGACAAAAACCCGCTCAGCGAACTTCGTCCGAGACGCGTCCAGTGTGGGCCCTCACCCAGCCTCACATGTGCCGCCCGTCCCATTGTTTACCAGCTAGCCTCCGCGGTAACATTCAAGCATACACTCGGAATATTTCGTATTATTACAGTGTTTTCGGTGCTGTTTGTGGAAAATAAGTGACCATGGGCCCCAAGAAAGCTTCTAGTGCCAACCCTACACCTCAAAGGGTAAGAATACCCATTGAACTTAAGAAAGAAATCATTGATAAGTATGAAAGTGGAGTACGTATCACCGACCTGGTCAGGTTGTACAAGAAACCAAAATCAACCATTGGTTCTATTGTGGGCAAGAAAACGGCAATCAAGGAAGCTGTTGTTGCCAAAGGTTTAACTGTGTTTTCGAAACAAAGATCGCAAGTGATGGAAGATGTTGAGAGACTTTTTTGGTGTGGATAAATGAGAAACAGATAGCAGGAGATAGCATCTCTCAAGCGATCATATGTGAAAAGGCTAGGAAGTTGCATGACGATTTAATTAAAAAAATGCCTGCAACTAGTGATGATGTGAGTGAATTTAAGGCCAGCAAAGGTTGGTTTGAGAGATTTAAGAAGCGTAGTGGCATCCATAGTGTGATACGGCATGGTGAGGCTGCCAGTTCGGACCACAAAGCGGCTGAAAAATATGTGCATGAATTCAAGGAGTACATAGAAACTGAAGGACTGGAAACCTGAACAAGTGTTTATTGTGATGAAACAGGCCTGTTCTGGAAGAAAATGCCAAGCAGGACCTACATTACATCAGGAGGAAAAGGCACTCCCAGGACATAAGCCTATGAAAGACAGGCTTACTTTGTTGATGTGTGCCAATGCTAGTGTGATTGCAAAGTTAAGCCTTTATTAGTGTATCACTCTGAAACTCCCAGAGCGTTCAGGCAAAGAATGTCCTCAAGGATAATTTGTGTGTGCTGTGGAGGGCAAACAGTAAGGCATGGGTCACTAGGGAATTTTTCTATAACTGGTTACACCATGCATTTGCCCCCAATGTGAAAGATTACCTAACTCAAAAGAAATTAGCCTTAAGTGCCTCCTGGTGTTAGACAATGCCCCTGGTCATCCTACAGACGTGGCAGAGCGACTTTATGGGGACATGAGCTTCATTACGGTGAAGTTTTTGCCTCCTAATACCACTCCTCTCCTGCAGCCCATGGACCAGCAGGTCATTTCCAACTTCAAGAAACTGTACACAAAAGCTCTGTTTCAAAAGTGCTTTGAAGTGACCACAGACACTGGATTGACTCTAAAAGAGTTTTGGAAGGATCACTTTAATATCCTCAGTTGTGTAAACCTTATAGGTAAGGCTTGGGAGGGAGTGACTAAGAGAACCTTGAACTCTGCTTGGAAGAAACTGTGGCCAGAATGTGTAGACAAAAGGGATTTTGAAGGGTTTGAGGCTAACCCTGAGAGGAGTAGTATACCAGTTGAGGAATCCATTGTGGCATTGGGGAAGTCCTTGGGGTTGGAGGTTAGTGGGGAGGATGTGGAAGAGTTGGTGGAGGAGGACAATGAAGAACTAACCACTGATGAGCTGATAGATCAACTTCAAGAGCAAGAGGCCAGAACCTGGGGAAACTGGTTTCAGAGGAGGAGGGAGAGAGAAATTGAAGGAATTGCCTACTTCAAAGATTAAGGAAATGTGTGCAAAATGGCTTGAAGTGCAAACCTTTTTTGATGAAAATCACCCTCACACAGCTATTGCAAGCCGTGCTGGTGACTATTACAATGACACTGTTGTGAAACACTTTAGGAAAGTCATAAAGGAACGAGAGGTACAGGCCACTATGGACAGATATGTTGTGCGACAGAAGTCCAGTGACTCTGAAGCTGGTCCTAGTGGCATTAAAAGAAGAAGGGAAGTAACCCCAGAAAAGGACTTGCTACCTCAAGTCCTAATGGAAGGGGATTCCCCTTCTAAACACTAACACACTCTCTCCCCTCCTCCCATCCCATCAATCATCACCAGATCTCAATAAAAGTAAGTGTCATGTAATTTGTGCATGCCTTTTTCAGTTTGTGTGTACTAAAATTAACATTTTTTTGTGGTAAAAAAATTTTTTTTTCATACTTTTGGGTGTCTTGCACGGATTAATTTTATTTCCATTATTTCTTATGGGGAAAATTAATTCGCATAGCGAACATTTCGCATAACGAACAGCCCTCTTGCACGGATTAAGTTCGCTATGCGGGGGTCCACTGTATAATAGAAATAAAGCAGCAACAATGAATATCATTAGAAAAATTGCAGAGACAGCAAGCATAGCCAAGACAAGATTAATTATACTTACTGTACAGTAATTAGGGGTTTTAATCACAGAAATACTAAAAAAACTAGTTAACTCACAGAACTTGTAGATATGGAGGTGTAATCCTCTTGCTATGTAATGCAGTGGATAAGATATAAAAGGTTAAAAAACTATAAAACAATTCCCAGATAAATAAAAAGGCTACAAATAGTTTTTAAATGCATTCATTAACTGATAGAAGAGATGATATAGTAACCACAAAAAAAAAAAAATTAAAGGCTTAAAAACTTTTGGGACCATATGGAGAATAAGGTTCAAAAAAAGCCGTCAAAAAACTGGAGCCAAAGTATCGACACTACAAGGGGACTTTTTCAAAGTGGTGTGTTAAATTTTAAAATAGGATAAAAATAGTTATAGTAAATGCTAAAGCCTAGGAAAAAAAGGATAGTATGCGAAACATAAAGGTATATCTCTGTCCTATAGTACAAAACTGGTTGGTGAAAAACAGGCAGTAATTCACACAAGCACATGCATTTTTATTTTTGATATAATTTCAACCTGGGGGTAAGGGTTGGGCTCCGGAGTAGAAATCAAAACTCATCAAAAGGGATATAAAAGTGCCATACAGAGAAGAAAATTAGTGTAATTATGGCTCAAATAAAATTATAGGTTGCTCTGATAGTTTATATTTCTTTATCAATTGCATCTTCTCCGAAAATGCCAACTTCATTTCAGGGGGCCATTTTCACTGCCTGACATGCCAATTTTGTCTGCCTGCCCCTCTTACAGATCATGGCTAAAAAAGATTTTTAAAATAATTTCTTATAACATTAAATTTTTCACATCCGTATGTAGTGATGGTGGATCGGAGGTGCTGGAAAAAAAAGCGTGCTTTTAAATAATCATGGTGACGGGGTACTTTGCTCTGTGAAGCTGTTTGTGTCTCTTGTGAATCGGGAACCGGATTTCCCTCTCTTGAGAACTTTTCCGCAGCTGGAGAAAAGCTCAGAGTTTCTAAGGGGATAGGCGGGTTTTAACGGAGGGAACAAGGGGATTCGTAGTTCCTCCTGTTGTGAGTCCCCAGGTTAAGGGGGAGTTGGTCGGGGGCCGGGCAACGGAACCAAGCTGGGATAAAGAAATGGTTGGAGAGGCAGAAACAACGAGAAACCAGAAGATACCTGGAAACTTCCAACCCTTCTCGTGTACCTGACGAATGTGAGTGTTTACGGGGAATGCCACAAAGCACCAAGGAAGCTTTGGCAGACGTGAGTGAGACATCCCTAGAAACCCCAAACGAAGATCACAAGAACTTTTCTTGACAAATTTTCCCAAGTGGTGTAATGACCTGACGAATGTGAGTCGACTTTTGGGGAGCATCACGAAGGACGACGCCAAGGAAGGTAAAAAACATTGTTGTTTTTGGGGGATAGCCAATTAGGACAGGATGGGGCCCCCTCTGTTTGAAGGATAGGAGTAGGAGAGAGTGTGTTTTTGGGGCGGGATGAAGGATATTGTTAGCCGTCGGGATGACATCATGAGGGGTAATGGGAGCAACCTTTATCTGTCTCAGTGCGGGGCAACATGTTGGCAAAAATGGGGTGGGGACCTGATTAGCAGTATGGGTCAGCTTAGAGATAATTAGGAGGAAGGGGGAAACCCTGTATATGTTGGCATTTTCCCCAAGGGAAGGAGTTGGAAAGAATGGTTGTCCAAGCAATTTGGGGTGTAAATTTGCTGGCGGGGAAAAATCGTAAGGAAAAATCCGGTAACATTCATTGACAATGGGATCTCTTCTTGGCAGAAAGACATGTATGCCAGGGATGGGGTTCACTTATTAGGTGTGGGGTGGGAGCACTGGGCCAACGCAGTGGGGGGAGCTGTTAGGTCTTTAAAAAAGAAAAGTTAGTGGGATGGGTTTTATCGGGAAAACTTTGGGAAATCCAGGAGTAATAGAGTAAGGAGAACTAGAATGGCAAAATTTAGGGGATATGGAAAGCCAGTGGCATAATTGACAAGGACATAATAGGGTTTTGTGGAATAAAAGAAAGGGCAGGAAAGGGTAAAGAGAGAGGGGGTCTTTAAATATTTATTACACAAATAGCGAGGTAGGAAAGAAAAGGGACTGAGATGTTGCTAGTGCAGGTACATGATGTATTTGCCTAACTGAGACGTGGTTTAATTCAAAAAGTCGGGACATCCTGCAGAATGTCACATTCAGGGTTTTAAATTGTTCCAAGTAGATGAATTTTCGGGAAGGGGGGTGGGGTGGCTTTTAAGTCCGAGATGATTGAACTGTTTCATAAAAAATGGGGATTAATCTGAATAAATACAAAAGAGTCTGTTTGGATAGAATTTTCAGGGGGCACAAAAAAATTAATTTTT